CTAACAAAGTAAGAACACTTGTAGGGTAGCAGTCACGTATACGTTACCGGCTGACATGTGACTACGTAGTATGCAAACAGCCCGTGTGGTAGCCCGGTAGCCGGTACTCGGAGGTTACTGCGGGCGAGGGGAGATACAACGTTATTGTACAAAATTATTTTTGGCTACTGGTTACGATTCTAGGTCAAAAATTCACTGTAAAAATATCCAAATCAAAAAGTCTACAGAGTACGCCGAGTACACCTACCAGTATCGAGTACCTAACAAAAAATATTCAATTACTATTATTTATTAATTATTATTTTAGCACTTGCCACACAATATATTTTAATTTTTTGTTCCTAGGTCCCACCTACTTACAAAGGTGGGCAAGTTAATGAAAATAATTAACTCAAGCTATTAGCTAAGTTAAGTTAAGAGGACACAAGATCGATAAGTTAAAAGTTAACAGTTAAAAAATGATAAATTTAACTCGATAAGTTAAAAGTTGATATAGAAAAAAATAGTAACTTAACTCAGTTTAAATAAAGTTAATCTATTTTTTTTTTTTAATAAGTATGTAAATCACATAAAGAGTGAATGTGTCTTTCTAGTTTCTAATTTATAAATTATAAAAAACAATTTTATGGAACTTTTATCATAATGTACACAGTACACTGTATACCATTTTACTTTTACTTTACTATTATTTACTAATTTAAACTATACTCATCTCAAATAAATAATTTAACAAATATATTTTTTTATATCGTATAGCAATATTGAATATCATAAAACGTGAAGATGAGTACATGACCTTCATATTATTTATTATAAGTTATATAACATTAAAACATAACAATTGTCAATTTGTAATTTAAAATTATTAATTTTATTAAAAACAATTATAATTGAAACTCACATAATATATAATTTGCAGCTTAATAAAACATATTAATATACACAAAATTATTTTATCAAGAAAAAGAACAGAAATGTTTGTGTTTTTGTATTGGATTATTTTTATTTTATACTGATATAGTAATATTTACGTAGTATAAACGAAAAATTTCAAAATGTTTTTAACTTGATGGATTTTTTTATAGTCAACTAAGAAAAGCTAGGTTATTTCAACTGTAAATTAAACTAGTTACGTCCATAAGTTGATTAAAAATTAGAAAATAAACTAACTAGTTAAGTTAAATAGTTTTAAAAAAATTAACTTTTTAAATAGTTAATACCCACTTTTACCTGCTTATAATTAATATACTAGTATATACGTATATAAGTTTATGTTCAAACTGTCAATAAATAATATAAACGTACATCTACTTAAATTAATGTAATTGCCAAGAATATAAAATATGAACTTATTATAACTCAAGTTTGTTTATAAAAATTATTTATAGTCTTATATATTTTATACAACATCTACGTTAATAATAATTGTAGGTATCCGTTTCATAATATTTTTAGTTTTTCCTGTCTGTATATAGAGTATAATATATTAAAGGTACCTACATGTTTTTGGGCTGTTACTTGATACAAATTATATGGTCAATGACGGTTGACTGTACCAATTCCCACTTCAACAAAACTGTAGTTTCGTAAGTCATAATTGTTTGAATATCAATATTATAATTTATTTTAACATAATATATCATATATCTATCTACAATGTAAATATTAATATTCCATACTTAATTCAGTCTTCAATCAAAAGTTATTCACAAATATTTTTTATTCTACAGGCTGTACAGTGTACAGTGTACAGTGTACAGTGTATAGCCCAGGGTTATCTAGTCGTCAAAACTTGCTATATGGAGAAGTATACGCCGATTCCTAACCTCAGTAGATAACAGTAGTATAGTCATTAGCCGTATTATAGTCGTAATGCTTATATACTAGGTATTATATTATTATATATAGTTTTACCAATTCGACTACTCGCCATTCGGTACATTAATTTGAAACGTTGGTAAGCCGCTATCCACAAACTAAAATAAGATTTATTTCTATTATTATATAGGAAAGATAAATACATAGTATAAGGTACTGGTCTAGTTGACCCCCGCCAAGAAAATATTCCCCCCGCCAATCAGGTTTAGTTGACACTTGACGCCCGCCACTTAAATAAATCTCTCGTGTTTTCGATGTTCTAGTCATTCGATATAGAATGTATATACTCATAAGGGCTAAGTGCCTAAGTCCCTACAAAAAATTTCTATAGCCCTTCCAAACATTTCCTATATTTTGTTTTAAGCTTATTCAATATTATCAAAGTAAGGCTTAAGCCCCCCAAATCTCAAACGTTTTTTGCGCCTATGTATATTCTGCAGATAAAAAGGTACGAAATCACACACGTTATATAGGTATTCCGGTATTCGTATGCAATTCCCTAATTAGATACTTCCTAGATTCTTATTTGTTAGAGTTTATGTGGCGAAGTAAATTAAACGGCCGCAATCCATTTAATGACATTTTGGCCACCTGCATAATTTTTTATTATTTATATAAATTATATGTGAATGATATATGTTTTTTTACTATTTATTTATTCATATATGATGTACATTATTTATCTATTTTTATTTAAATCACCTGAATTTCTAGCTTAAATGTATTAGCTTATGTGGTGAATAATTTTTTTATAATTTATTTATTCATATATATTATGTATCTATAAATAGTAAATACCGAATAAATGTATGATCTATAATATTCTATAATCTATGATTACCTATAGTTTTGATTATTGACTAGAAAATCGAAAACACGAGAGATTTAATGGTGGGCGTCAACTAAACCTGAGTGGCGGGGGAATATTTTCTTTTCGGGGGTCAACCAGACCAGTACGGCAGTACCTAATATAATTATTATAATAATTTGGAAATGTTTAACGATTACCAGCAAATAGTATTTATCCAGAGAACTAGAGCTTTCGATTCCATCTCACCAATCCCCAAATATGCCTTAAAAGTTTAAACTGTGGTCTATGATAACTTCATATTTCATAAGATTGTAAACAAAATAAATTGCCCTAATAATAAATAACTTCAAGATATAATTCCAACATTTTGACAGTACCTCAAAGGATGGGGTTAGTGGGCTTTGCGAAATCTTACTTCATCCCCATCTTACTTATTTTATACCAGGCTGGACAATTATTTGAAACCTACATAGTAGTTTATGTGAAGTTGCAGGCCACCCCAATCTTATTATTTTTTTATCAGACTAGGAAATTATGAAACAAATTTTTAAAACCAATTGCCTATAATAATCTGCAAATAGAATAGGTACATAATTTATTTAATTTTCAAATAAATTACCGCACGCAGTCAAAGCATCCAAAACACAAAATCAACCTTTCCAGTTTCTTAGAATTCACATATTGATGACTTATTGACTTCATCTGGCATAATTTTGCTATTTTCATACGGCTATAGTAAACCAATTTAGTCTGTTCTTATCTGTTTAGCTATAGACTATAGTTATAGGGTACAACTATATTATGATAGATTATAGACTCTAGTAGTCTAGTCATACCTTGTTAATTTATTATAGTATAGTTATAGCAGTAGGTACTGTAATGTAATCCCATATTATGCGTGAAGGTTATGGTTCATTCCGGTGTCTAGCCTCCCGGAAAGTAGCGTGGATAATAAAACCGGGGAAAACGAGGCCATAAATCAATGAGGAAAAGCTTAAAAATGAGTAGGTACTTATATATATGCATAGTAGTGTATACATGTTGATATGATATATTTGATAGTAATTTACTCATTTATTATATCCTATGTTTGTTTTGTCGGAATCAAAATCAACATATTGGGCATTTGAGTATATAACAGCCATAAATTATTATTGTTATTTGACATTCGTGAATTATTCGTCGACAAAATATCGCCAACTTTTTCTGCATTATAAAAATATCCACCTATGAAATTATAGAAAAAAAGTGAGGGGGTCCATCCCATACCACCCCCGTAAATACGTCACTGGTCCCATTATTGACTATTACATTATACATTATAATATCATGGGTCACCTATAATCTATCTACTGTTATATAAACGGTGTACACTATACATATTATACATACGTAACACATACAGACACATAGTCGTAATCTGGGGTAAATTCTTTTTTTTTTTGGGACTGTGGTAAAACTAAAAATGTATAAGATAAAATTACATTATTGCCCACTCAGTTAAATATCTGAGGAGGCAGTTGCCCCCCTGCCCCCCCAGATTACGCTTACAGTACGGACATACAGCTCGACAGCTGTTGAATTTAGGACATAGATATTATGACGTCGTATGTATATCAACAATATCATAGGTAGTATATTAGTATCGTTAGTATACACTACACACGAGTTCAATGACTTGAGTCACGACCAAGGTCCAAGCCTCAAGGACCCACTATACCGGTATATAGTGTATAGGTCACGTCGGTTGACTAATGAGTAAGATTGAGAGCCGGCGACTAAGTCGACGACCAGGTGAATCGTCGTGATCGGTGTTCAAGTAATCAAGTGGGTCGATTGGTAGGTGGTTTGGTGGGTGGTTGAATGAAAAGTTATTTTCGACGGATCGGCCAAAAACTATTTTGTTAGGGTCATCCACCCTTGCCTTAATAGTTGTCTACCAAGGACGAGTAGACGACGTCAATTCGTTTCCGGCACAGACGTGCGACGGCCACGTCCTCCGTTGGCGGCACTGGAGAACGAATATTGTATTAATGTATTGTAATTTGTAATTTATAAAAGTCAACTCACTACTCTAGTATTGCGTCTAGTACTCTAGTACTTATATAATAACGACAATATTGCTTTGCGTCGTTCATTCGTTTAAAACGGTCAATTCCCCATTTCTCCCCCATTTCGAAGTACGATTTTGACATTTTGTTCGCTTTGCAGACGCTACAGCCGTAAAAGACCCACGTTTCGTGGTTTTTTTTTACTAAACAAATGAAATTCCGAACGGGTCAAACAATATTTTTATAGCCTCAAATTATCGTTACCGCCCGTCAAAGAACGAATCATTACCATTCGCATTTGCCATTCCCATTTGCCGCACGTTAATAACCGTGTGCTGGGTCATGACGTCAGCAACGGTGACGGTGGCAGGCGGCAGCAAAGCGCGGCACGACGGCGGCTGTGGAGACCGTAAAATCGTTAGGTGGGGGAGCGCCGCCAACGACGGACACGCACACCCTGCCCGACCTCGCCCGCCAGCACGACCGTCATCGTCCCCACTCGTCGCCGTAACGGGCTGGTCGACGCCGCCGCCGCCGCCTCGCTGCCGGAGCAGCACTGCAGCAGCAGCAGTCATCACTCCCGAAGTCTCGACTCCGTTCGTTTGGCGATGTTATTTAAAACCCCGGGCTGGTAACGGGAAATTCGTTCGTACTGGTATGTGTACAGTTTTTGGCAGTTTTTCCGTTGATTTAACGACGTCTACTTCCATGGTCATTCATCGAGCACTGCAGGTAAGTGCGCACGGCTTTCCGCTAACCCACGAATACCGCGCGAATCGTCTGGGTCGCTTTGAAATTATTATATTAACGTGACGTAGGCATAGGTTACGATCGTTATTTCAGGTAGGTAGGTAGATAGGCAGGTATGCAGACGGACACGAGCACACGATGTTTCCACTGGCGACGGAAATCGTTGGCGATCTGCGTCAGGTCGGTTGTTTTACGCGTGTCACGATCGCGTAACGCTCTTGCAATGGCGTTTGGCCATAAATAGAGGTACGCACGGCCGTCGACGATCTTGAGGGGCGGTCGGATGACGACGACGGTGTCCGTAACGGTTATGGTACGAGTCGTGTTGATGGGGAGGGGAGAGACTAAGAAGGATCGAAGTGGCCTGCAAATGTTGTGGCGGCCGTCGACCACGTCTTATTGTTTCAGTCTTGGTGGCGATAGCTGCCAGCACACAATCTTCTGCAATTATAGTCTTGTCGTAACAATAATATTATCGTCGTTCAATTTTGAATTTTCCTAGGGGCCATTCCACGTACATCGACGTCCGATCAACAAACATTGTATTTTACCGTATACCATATTCCATAATTTTTTCTGGCAAGTATATAATATATACCCTGCGATTGTTATATCTATTTGTTACGATTTTTGTATCGTACGTGACCGACGTGAGGCTGTTTCCCATCTCGAGTTCCACTGATAACATATTCTGACAATTGCTCATTGTTTTCTCTGTAATGTCCAGTGTAGATTTTGGAGAAATTGTTAATTTTTTAACAATTTAGAAATGGGATGTTTCAAAAGGACGTTCCCAGTTTTTGTTGATCTTTCATTATTTCTTAGTTTTTTTATAATACTGTATTATAGCAAATCAACTATCTAGGGCAGTACAAATTAAATTAATATAATAGGCATACCAGTCATGAGAGATAACCAATACCTGACAGAAAAAAAGTTAATGAAAAATATGTTATACCTTAATATTGTTTTGATTTCAAGACTTACCTACCAATACATCGGAATAGTTTTTGTAAAATAAGTATAGAAACTAGGTATATTCACACAAAATGTTTTTTATGCACTTACTATAGTTATAAGTAGTATAGAAATAGAAAGCTGATTCATTCTGAACTCTTATTATATTGATAAATTAATAGCTACTTTGTAAATTCAACACAGATAATATAGTAATTGATTAGACATTGGTAAGTGTCATGTAGCCATGTAGATTTATAGGCATACAGCTAAATTAAATAAAAACAACTAAAATAGTTAATAGGTATAGTAAACTGTACCTAATGGACTTTCTTACCTAGATGTGTAAGTGTTATAATAAAAATAGAGAGTACCTCACTATAGTAAAAGTAGGTTGTATACCTAATCATGTTGGTAATTAGTTTTGGCTGTCTAATGTTTTTGAAGTGAAATCTGAAGTCGAACAATACATTTGTTACATATTATACTTGTTAAATCACATTTTTGTAGAACCTACCTACCTTAACAATATTGGGCATTTACATCAGTTAGGCATCTTTTAAAAATTAACAGTCATCGTAAAATCACATTTCTTTTTATTGACTTATAGAAAAATAATATTCTTATGACTAATACTATAGAGCCTTTAATACTTTTATATTTTTTATCTGTTATTTAAAATTGATCTAGAAATATATTTGAATTGGTGTTTAAGGTCAGTAAAATAAAATACTCAGTACCAATTGTATTTTTACTCCTCAAATTAAGTGCCTATTGTTATCTAGTTAAGAATATATTTTATTGATACTAAAAGTTAAATTATTTTTAATTTATAAGTAATAAAAACTATTTTGCATATAATATTTACAAAACAACTAATTCGGAGTGTTGTTTTATTAAAAAATCAGTACTGATAGTTACTCTTAATATTTATTTGTATGCATTTTGTAAAATGTTTATGAATTATAATGATGCCCTTTACATCATAATGATTTTGTTGCCATAATACTAAGGAAGCCATAGGCATTTTAAATTGTGCATGTCATAACAAAATGAAAACAACAACTCATTTTAAAACCAAATGGCGATTATTTTTAACTTAAATTAATTGTGAAATCAAATTCAAAAGTACCTATTTATAACAATTTTATGTTTTCCTTCAGATTTTTGTTTATTTTTATTCCATTGAATTATGGTTTTAGTTAATTCATAATAAATTGATTTTTTTATCAGTAAACAACAATTTTTACCTATGAAAAAAATTAATTCAATGTATTTTTAAACTTTTTATACTTTTATGGATATACAAATTATATAAATAAATGTTTACCCAATGGTAACCCATTGATATTTTTGTGATTAAATATTCACATAAAAATACATGAAAATATTAATATTCATAAATTTATAATTACAGAATAATAATCAAATAGTTATTTAAATTTCAAATTTACTTTTAACATTTTAACTATTACCTCGACTATTACTTAATAATTTATATAATAATAATTTTATTTCTATTAAATTTGAATGATTTTAAATAGAAGTATTTTCTCATTAAACGTTTTGTAACGGATAAATAAGGTTGTTTAAACTGGCTGTATGTGATTTTCATACATACTTTTATTACCCAATCATAAATTATTAAAATATCATAAATTGTAATGTTTATATTTGACGTGCAAAATGATTTACTATTAAAATAATATTATAGTTAAGACTTAAACAAGATAATATATTTTTCAGTTGCTTTAATTATTATTTTTTACAACTTGCTTATTATGCAATGTATACTGAATCTTAATAATGGCTGTTTAATTTATCCAGCTGTAATTGTGTGTCTTATAATTTGTTCAGAGTAAAAGCTAATAAAAAAAAAAGGTTAGTAGTTTTAACTAGGCACTTAGTCAAAGGACATTTGAGCGGATAGACTAGTTAAATATTGCATTTAATAGTTGTTATCCACTTAATAAAATGTTTTTGGTCCGATGTTGTCATGTTCATTGCATCTAATTGATTGTTAGAAACCATATCAAACATAACCATGTCTCTACACAGTGAAATAATAATATAATAAATTGTAGGTAGCTACACAATTTGTAAATCATTTATTAAAAAAAAGTATATCCTATGAAGAGTAATTATAATTTAGTCTCTGAGTCATGACTTATACCAATAATAGCTTAAGATAAGCACTTGTCAACACAAAAACTATGATTTATAATTCTTATCTGGTCAATACATTTTGTTTACAGGTTGTTAAATCTGTAGCAGCCTTTGGTTTCATGGATTTGTCGTTAGACAGCAGTGAATATTGCCAGGCACAACACAATAAATTGGATGTGAATACATATTAAATCATTTTATTTGAATATTATGCTTGCTCGTTGAACAAGCATTGATCCTAATCTATCCTTATTGTTGAATCGTTTTCCTCGATAATTTAGTATAATTTGTTGGTCGTAAGAACAAAAACGCTGCTGTTAATTAATGACTAAAGACTTGACTGTTTTTTGTCTTCAGTTTTCAGTTTGGACACAGACATCATCTAAACAATAGTTCATCCTTATATAATTTAACTTTCCTGTTATATATTATAAATCGGCTCAATGAGCAACGAAACCATAATGCGTCAAAAAGACATAAGACCACCACCCTGCGAGATTGAGTATAAGGGTATGAGATTTCTAATCACTGATAGACCTAATGATCAGATAATTCACAACTATGTAGCTGTAAGTAATACAAATAATTTACATTTTGGATATGTTAAAATGAATCAAACTAAATTTTTATTTTCGTAATTTTAGGAATTAAAGAGGCATAACGTCAAGCATGTTGTGCGTGTTTGTGAACCAACATACAAAATAGATGAATTAAAAGCAGAAGGTATTGTGGTGACCGACTTGGCATACGATGATGGCACATCCCCTGCAAATGAGGTAAATATTGTAATTTGCTTAATTAAGTATTATTTTGCACATTAAAAAAGTGATACATTTTTCATTAAATTTTATTTTGTTAGCTGATAGAAGAATGGTTTGAATTATTACGAAATCAGTTTCGTACAGATGAGGGCAGCTGTGTTGCTGTTCATTGTGTGGCTGGTTTGGGTCGGGCGCCTGTCTTAGTTGCTCTAGCATTGATAGAACTTGGGCTGAAGTATGAAGATGCCGTTCAATTAATCAGAGAGTGCGTACCATACATAACAAAGCAAAATATTACCTGTTAATGTGCTGATTTTTAAGATAAAACATTTCTTTAGGAAACGAAGAGGAGCTATTAATTCTAAACAACTGGCTTTTCTGGAAAAGTACCGTCCGAAATCTAAACTGAAGATGAAGAATGGAAAGTCTACTTGTTGCATCCAATGAACACATCCCCCATATCTCGGTCATACCAAACTTAAACTAATAACCAATTTTATGCATAGCACAAATATAATAATCACCAAGAACACTTAGAGAAACCCATGAACACTAACAATTGAATATGTATTGCTGTTGCGATAAAAGATCTGATAACCTTTCATCTAGTATAGTGCAAAATAATTAGCGTGTTTAAAATAAGATTTAATCAAATTGTTAAACGTAAATAAATTTATTTTGCTTTTCCCAAAAATGTCTTCAACTTTTGCTTTACATCCTAAATATAGGGCGTTTAGTATTACATTATTAAAGTAACTTACTATGATAATAATAATCAGCATCAACATTTTTTTTTTTTTTTGTGATAAAATAAAACCATTTACTGTCAAATAATGCATTTCTCATAACCAATGTCTTCTGAAAAATAATATTACAATCAAATTGATATCGACATACAACTAAACTCATTTTATACTTTGATACTATTTTGTTTATTTTCATTATATATGAAATATATTATAAAAGTGCTTTCAATCACAAAATAATATAAACTTTAAACTTACGATTAGTTCCAAAAATGATGGAGTAGTTGATCCTGTCTATAATCATACTTTGAAAGTGCAATGCGTTTACTAACATACCAAAAAGGCATACCAGTTATGATTATATATTAAATATTAGCTAATTCAATTTTGATTATACTTGTATAATATAATAACTTATTGTAATAAATTATCGATGCGCATACATTTCCCCCCGACTATTATTGTGCATTGGATTTTTTTTTTTTTTTTTGAATTTTAAGTATTTTTGCGAACGTGTAGCAATTTGTTTCCAAAATATAAACAAATATATATATATATACATAGAAATACTTGAATGTATCTTGTAAATTGATTATTGAAAGTAAGGTTAGTGGTTACCCTTACGTACACTCCTTGTACATACTAGCTAGTACACAGCTAGTAAATATTACTATAGATGTTATTTACGTCCTAACTCACGTGGCTGTTACCTTTAGTGATTACTTTCCTGCCATCCACCCTTCCGCATACCATGCTCAAAATGTCACTGCAGTCACGTGGAATACGAGAGACCTACATCGTGTCAAATTATAAATTCCTCCGATTGTCTGACGAAAAATATGAGCGTTACATAAAAAATACTACCCAATCGATATTTGAACACTATATTGCGTAACACGACAATGATATTATTAAGTCGATGACGTAATAACTAGATGCGGGCAGAGTTCTATTTCCTTTATGCGGACGAGGCGCACCCCTCGGCCTTCACCAATCCACACAACTGAAGCAGCTCTAGAACATTGGGCGAAACGTAAAACTCGAAAACCCAGTAGTATTTGATATTTTATATTGAGAAAAAATCACATGTGTTGACGCCACGGTGTAGGGAAGAGACGAAAAAACCCTCGCTGCCGAACGGTTGAACTTGAACTCCATTGGGTTTTCGACACCAAACAGCCACTCGGGCATCTTTTCGGCTGTGACGTATCTGTGGCGGCAGACGTTTGCCAATAAATACGACCCGACGACAATGTTATAGTAACGATTTAACAGACGGCAAACAGTTGCCAAACGCGTCGATTCATTTAGAGGCCGCCAAAAAGACGATTTTTGTTTTTATGTCTCGACATTTCTGAAGTTTTCTCAACGGACGCTGATAGTTAAATATTGACATAGTTAGTTGTGGTTTTTTTTTTTAAACTTAAACTACGTCTGATCAGCCTGACCAATTACCTACTTTAAATTATACTATATGCGTATTGCGTGGGGAAATTTTGACATCCCTAAATGCCCAACCATCATTGATTATAATTTCTCATTTACTCAGTCTAACAAGAAAACACTCCGCGGCCTGACGAAAATGTCTTCTGCACATCTCCACACGACACCCCGGCCCCTGCCATAGATAGTGGAACTGGTCTCAATGGCGATGTGTCGCTTGGAGATGCGCAGAATTGGCGTGTTATCTTGCTATGGACAGAGTATAGATAGGTACTTAATTTTATTTTATTATAATTTTAGTACTGAAAAAATAGTATTTAATTCTTAAAAATTTCGTTTTTCTAATTTTCTTCATTATTGGTAAACATTACTTATTATTTAAAAGCGAATATGTGAATAATATAGTCAACCACTAGATGCCTACTATTATAAAAATAAAAACTAATCGTGTTAAAATACTGTGGGCTCACATTTCTTTTGGTTATCTAATCTCCAAAAGTATAAGTTGGGTATTCAACCATGTTATCTGATCTATTTGAAATTAAATAATTGTTTTTATTATTTCCAGAAGTCTATTATAGTCTCAAAAGTATTAATGCATTATTATGCAAACTTGAACTAAACTTCGAGCGTTTGTATTGTATCAAAGTACCTACCTATAGTATGAAGTATACTTTCCAATAACTCCAGCATAAGTGAAGTATATGGTCACCTATAGGGCTGTTTAACTTTGAGGTAAGCTGGTTAATTTAAATATATCAATTATATTTTATTCTCTTTAAAAAATATTAGGTAACAGGTAGGTAGGTATCTTAGTATTATTTATTAACATGTAGATAAATTAAATACAAATTTTCAGATCTTAATATATATTGCAACCGCGAATTTCGCAGGCTTTTATAAATTGTCGTGTGGATAACTATACCTGTATTTATATGCCCAATTATAACATGTCTACATGTTACATACCTACTATACATTATAGGTATATTATTATTTTCATTATTATCATCATTCATCAGTATTCAGCGCGCAATATTCTTATTATTTTTTTCCGTGATTATAATATTGTATTATAGACCAGTATAACTCGGCTTCCCAATTTAGTATAGAAGACGGGCCAGCGCCCAGCCATATCTACTTGTCGCTAGTGATGTAAAAATACAGGTTTTTTTTAGTTTTTTACCTACGTCTATTATACTTTTTGTATAAATGTCTATAATACCGTGCGTTGTGCGTATTATCCTACCTATTATACGGCCTATAATTATATACACACATGTTATTTGTAGGTAACCTACCTATACACTTACCTATAATATTCAAAATTAATTTATTTAAAAAATAACGCAAATTACCCACATTAATATTGATTGTGCAAATACAAATACATTAACATATTTTAATAACAATAAAAAAACCAAAAAGTGAGAGATTTGTATTCGGTAAATGATTAGATAGATAACTTTTACAGTTATGCTGTAGGTATATTATGTATTTTGATGTAGGCTAACGGTCGCCTGAGTACCAGAACTAACCTTCAGCAAAGTCCAATACCTATGTTGTTGTAATGTTTGATTTACAATAAACAATGCGGCGAATGGGAAAATAAAGCTAACATAGTTCCATTCTTTGTTCCTAGGTAAAGTACTAAAGTCCTTCAATTTAACATTAAGTAAGGTACTAAGGTACCTAATAAGAAATTTGAAAATTAATTAACTAGTTAATGAATGATTATTTCCTAATTAAATAACCTAACCAATGAATTTCTAATTTTAACAACAGATCATCTTGTGTTTTTTGTAGATAAACATATTCAAACATTTATAAAAAGTGTACTATATCGTTTGAGGACGTCATTTGCGAGGTAGAACTATAGAAGGGTATGCAATATATTGTATTTTCATCTCAAAGAATTCGCGTTTCTAAATTTTTATTTATTCATGTACCTACTACCTACCTTACCTCTTGGTTTCTCACCACTGCTTGACGTTACCTGCCTCAAATGTCAATTTGTCATCTATACTTTACACATAAGATAGAAAATAAGTTTAATAATACGTAATCGAATTTCACTTTTTCCACCATTTCGCTTTTTTATCGTGTAACCTTCTCATACCTTCCCACGTACCATAGGTTGAGAAACGCTGCGGAATAGATGATATTAATTTCAACGATTTAAGAGATCATTTTTTAAATTTCAAATTCCTTAGCTATCGATAGGTAGGTATATATTATGAAATATTTTAACTTTTAACCTTTCAGGCCCACACATTGATCGGGTAGAGATATCGAATTTTAGTAAAAAGCTTTTTTCCTTAGAATTCTATCAAAATTGATTTTATGCCATAATAATAGTTTTTGGTTTTTAATTTTTATCGGAAAGAATATTGTTGATAACATATTTTTTTTTTTCTATATTGTGTAAAACTAAAATACGCAAATTTTGGTTTTGGCTACACTGTTCTAGGATTAAAATTGATAAACAGTAGAAAATTAAAACTGTAAATAAACCATGATGCCATATGGCATCACTGGGCCCGAAAGGGTTAAGTACCTATCTACTTAAGTCTTAAATAATATTCACTATTATTCACATCTTAAACTAGGTATCTTAAAAACTCTTTCGCTAAATCATTTTCAATTGAATAAAATGTTAAAAATAATATTTTGCATTATGTAGGTATCTAATATATATATATATATATATATATAATGTATATGGTTTCGGTGGAAGACATAAGTACCAAAACGTTATAAGCAAAAAGTAAATCGTATCGTACAAAATCGCCGAAATTCCGGATACCTACCTGACAAAATATGAAGGGACCAATTATTAATTGATTATGATAGAGCGTCAGTTATAACATTATATTGTTGGTACATACTTAGTAGTTAGTATCTAAGCATTCGCATTTCGCGTAGAGCTGTATGTACCGAAAATTAATTTTACAAAACAATTACAAATAAAGGCATTTTTATATTTAAGAGCAATGGCCAGTGGTTACATTTTAGAGGTATACTTTGATTCTAGACTATAGTAGTTAGTACAGTAGTATTATAGAATTTCCTAATAAGGAATATTATTCGAACTATAGTAACTACAAAATATGCACCTGAATCATCGTGACATTAACAGACCAATTTTATGTTGCTCATTTCTCTGTTCATAACATTATCGTAATTTTAGTAATTACTAATTTATGTCTTACTGAAATTACAAAGTAAAAACATATTTATTTATGAATTTTTTCATTG